CTGGAAGCAGTGGAAGAATTCCACATAGAATGGATGGAGCGGGAACCGCAGCCCGGCTTCAACGGAGTCCAAATGGAGCATGATCATCCCCGGGCGTCTTCTCATCACATGCTCAGCACCTCTCACACTCCAGACGAACGGCGGGGGAAGGAAGGTACGGATTTTATTGAGGGCCACGCGGGAGAGGACTTGGTCATGGTCAAGTGCACTCCTGATCGGGCAGATGTGGCGCTCCATATCCGTGGGGATGCCCAGATCATACACCTCCACATCAGAACCAGATTCGGCTTCCTCTCCGGAATCATAATCAGCAGGACGCTCATTCAGGGGGACTGCATCAATAACATCTACTGCCCCGTCAGCACCCCCGTCCCTGGCGTCGCTCCCACTATCTTGAGGCACATCACCCGGCTCGCCATCAGCCCGGATGGTCCCCACCGTCGTGGCCGAACCAGAGGTTCCGGAAACACTAGTTTCTCCCAGGGAGCGTGCATTCGCATTTTCAGAGGAGGAGCCTGAGGAGGAACCCGACGAACTGGAACCAGAACTTGAGGAAATCTCCATCGAAGTCATTCCGACTAGAAATCAGAGTAAGGAAAAGAAGCAGAGGGGGGGAATTACCTTACGAAAGGGTTAGCCGAATTCAGAAAACTTGAAGAGCTGCGGGAAGTCGAGAGCAAGAGAGCAGAAATTGGGAACCCTAATTCAGAGGGAAAACCCAGCATTTATAGGAGAAGCACCGATGAAGAAACCAACGAGGGGCTGACACGTGGCAAGGAGCGTATTCCGGCCCACGCGCTGTGCGTGGGATGGGAACGTAATGATGACACTTCCTCGGGAAAATGCGCCGCCGCAACATCAGCCGTCACCTCGTTTCCTGAACCGTCAACAGCTGTCAAGCACCATGACCACGAACGCACGCTTCCACCAGGTGCAATAAACACAAGTACCAAGATACGGACGTCTACTTCGGGGAGGTTCATACTTCCTTATGTCCTGCGCATGCTCAGAACATCAGAAGTGGGGGACTTGTGTTGGGTTAAGGGCCCAAGCCGAGGTCCGGCCCACTAACCCATTTCGCCAGACGAACGTCCAGTTAGAACACTAGGCCAGCCCACAGGCCTATGTTCCTTGAGGATGGACGAATGTCTGGTGTTGGGGGACTCAGGCCCAGCAGCTCATCCCGACGAACGTCTATGCAGGGACAAGGAGCAGAACCACGGGCCACCAGGGATGGCGACGAACGTCCCCAGAGCAAGCCTGTAGTCACCGGAGGAAACCCAGTCCACATGGTGAGTATCTGTCAAGGCCAGGAGACGAACAGCCGATATCTCTCAAGGGTCCCTTGGAGCAATCCAACTCACTTCCCGGTGGACGGACGTCCCCACTGATCCGGCGGGAAACCTAGATTCTGGCGGGAAGTGCATTTAATGCTAAAGATTTGGTAGTTGGGACACCAGCGGTCCACAGGCTGCCACGTCACTACAGCCACCTGCCCATTGGCGGGTATAAATAGAAGCATTTATTCCATTGTAAAGGGTTGGCAACTTTCTATTCTTAGCATACTAGCTTCAGCATTATTACTCGCAGCATTTCTAACTGCCCTGTAAGACGAACGGCCGACGTGCCTTGTTTAGCAAGTAGATTGTATTTAGGGGAGTTATTACGAAGCTAATAATACCTACTTACATTGCCTGCTATTACTCTTGTTTCCTGATCCATCTAATAGTTGTTGGGCTTGACAATCATACACTCACTCCACTCGAAATCTTTGGGCTTACGTGTTGGGTCCAAGGGTTGAAGGAATAAACCTCAACAAAAGTTTATTTAAAAAAACAAAAATAATAATTTCTGATGGGGTTTTTCTTATTTTAAAAAGGAAAAATAACTTTAAATAATACCAACTATCACACATAAACCAATAATAATACATACTTTGAAAATGATTTTTAATGATATCAACTATTTGAATATAAATAAAAAATGATAAGAAGTCACTTTTCATCAAGAAATTCACTCATTTAAGACATTAAAAACTAATAGCAAACTATCAAATAAATGATATTTGGAAATACAATCACTTATTTGATATTTTGATACTACATACTAGTTTTTCATGAATTAAATAACTGAATTTTCATTGAAAAATTGTTCTATATCACTTTTGGTCTATGTTTAGATAGTTGGTATTATTAAAAATAATTTTCAAAGTACTTTTGGTCCCATTTTCAAAGTAATTTCCTCCGTCCCATTTATATTGGGACGGAAGTATACAAAGTAATGAATTTTGGGAAATAATGACTTGCCCTGTTGGGTGTCTTGGCCTTATATTTATAATAAACAGAATAAGGAAAATTACACATAGGTCCTTAGATATTACATTATTACACCCCCTCAATCTGTGCAGGGGAAACAACGCGCAGATTGGAACGCAAAGACTCAAAACGCTGACTAGACAAATTTTTAGTAAATATATCAGCTAATTGTAATTGCGTGGGAATATATTTGACAACGAGATCCCCGTGAGCAACATGTTCACAAACAAAGTGATAGTCAATCTTGATATGTTTGCTGTGATCATGTTGAATGGGATTCACGGCTAAATAGGAAGCAGAAATATTGTCACAATATAGTTGAACAGGAGCAGAAATTCGAATTCCCATGTCAGATAAAAGAGACCGAACAAATAATGTATCTTGGACAGTGTAAGCAATAGCCCTGTACTCAGCTTCAGTGGAGGATTTGGAGACAGTGGGCTGCTTCTTGGATCTCCATGAAATCAAATTTGAGCCGAGAAAAACTGCATAACCAGTAGTAGACCGCAAACTGTCCGGACAACCTGCCCAGTCTGCATCAGAATAGGCCATAATAACCGAAATATTTCGGTCAGACTGAAGCCATAAGCCGTGAGCTGTTGTGCCCTGTAAGTACCTGTAAATTCTCTTGACAGCTAATAAATGAGTAGTACGTGGTGCATGCATAAACTGAGAGACCAAATGAACAGCATATGTAATGTCAGGTCTAGTTATATCAAATACTGAAGAGCCCCTACCATGCTGCGATACTCAGTAGCGTCAGACAAGAGTTCACCATCTGTGAGGGAAAGAGAAGTGCGAGAAGGAAGTGGAGTGCGAACGGGCTTAACTGTGTGAAGATGAAAACGATGTAACAGGTTCGAGATATATTTAGCCTGAGATAAGAATAAACCTGTGGAAGTACGGGTGGCCTGAATGCCCAAGAAATAATGAATATCCCCCAAATCCTTCATAGCAAACGGAGCAGACAACATATGAATAACCGAGCGAACAAAAGAGGAGGAGGAACCTGTGATTAAAATATCATCCACATACAAAAGAATATATACGGTCTGGGACTGAGAGTGGTAGATGAACATGGAAGAATCGGACTTACTTTGAGTGAAGCCATAACTCAATAAAAAACCACTAAACCTATGAAACCAAGCGCGGGGAGCTTGTTTCAGACCATAAAGAGCCTTACGTAAACGACAGACATGATTAGGAAAAGAAGGGTGAACGAAACCTTGTGGTTGGCGCATGTAAACCTCTTAAGTGAGAGAACCATGTAAGAAAGCATTTTTAACGTCAAGTTGACGAACAGACCAACCCAAAGAAACAGCAATAGACAACATGAGACGCACAGTAGTGGGTTTAACAACAGGACTAAAAGTTTCAGTAAAATCAATTCCAGCCTGCTGTTTAAAACCCTGAGCAACTAAACGAGCTTTATGACGCTCAACAGACCCATCAGATAAATATTTTGTCTTATAAATCCACTTACATCCAACCACATTTTTAGTGTGATCCCAAGGTACTAAATCTCAAGTTCTATTAGCAATTAAAGCATTAAATTCATCTGCCATGGCAGCCCGCCAAATATCACTCTTTCTAGCCTGTGTAAAACAAGTAGGGTCATCCGGGGGAGATATAACACTTAATGTAAAAATAGTTTTAGGTTTAAAAATTCCATCCTTAGCCCGAGTGCGCATGGGATGAACATTAAGAGGAGCGGATGTACTGGAAGAAGATTGGGCCGAGGAAACGGGTGGAGATTCTGCCTGTGTGGTGTGGGGAATGTTAGTAGAAGGTGACAGCAAATGTGGGGGGCTGGTTTGGGAAAAATCGGGCAAAAGTGGACTGGGAGGGGAGTTTGCAGGTGATGACGGTGGGGTGGTATGCTGGAGTATGGGTGTCTGAAGGTGGTTTGTTGTTGGGGCTGTAAATGATATTTGACCGAGGGATGAAGCAGGCTGGTGTGGCTCAGATGTTAGTCTAGATTCTGGAAGAAGAGCACAGGTGGAGGAGGATAACCAGGATTGGGTATAGGCAGTGGATATTGGTTGAGATGATGGCAGTAAAGTGGAATAAGGAAAGACATTTTCATGAAAAATGACATCCCGACTTACATAGACACGACCAGTGGAGGGGGAGAGACAACGATAGCCTTTGTAACCCGGGGCATAGCCAATAAAAACACAATGAGTGGAGCGTGGTGAGAGCTTGTTGTGGGAGGCAGCAACAAAATTGGGAAAACAGGAGCATCCAAACACACGCATAAAATTATAGTCCGGAGTTTTACAAAAAAGTTTTTCAAATGGGGAAAGACCATCCAAAATGGGTGTAGGTAAACGGTTTATGATAAAAGTGGCAGTGTATAAGGCATCAACCCAGAATTGACCCGGAATAGAAGAATCAATTAACATTGTCCGAGTTAATTCTAGGAGATGTTTATGTTTGCGATCTGCTACACCATTTTGGGCAGGAGTGTCAGGACAAGACTTTCTAAATAAAATTCCAGATTTTAAGAAATGCATGTGAAAGGATGAATTATCAAATTCATCGCCCCCATCACTTTGGAAAATTTTTATTTTTAAATTGAATAAATTCTCAACAAGTGTTTGAAAATTAATAAAGTGAGTAAAAACCTCAGACTTCTTACGCATAGGATAAACCCAAGTATAATGAGAGAAATCATCAATGAAGGAAACATAATACTTAAAAACCCAAATTTGATAAAATTGGCGATTGCCAAACATCTGAATGTATAAGTTGCAATGGGGCAGTAGTATCATGAATAACATCACTAAATGGAAGTCTGTGGGATTTACCCAACTTACACGAGACACAATCATGATTAAAAGAAGATGAACTAGTAATTAAACTATTTTGCCTAAGACGACCAAGGACTCTATCACCACAATGCCACAACCTCTTGTGCCATATCGGACCAGGAACTACACGGGCTTGAAAGGCATGGAAAGGGTAAACATGGTTTTTATTAGGTGCCTGAAGAAGAAGCTCCCCCGTTTGATTGTCCTTAACAGAAAAAGAATTTTTATCAAAAATCACTTGACAGGCATTATCCGCACATAATTTTTGAACAGAAAGCAAATTGTATTTAATATGTGGGACATGATAAACAGAGTTAAGATTTAACGGGCGACCATGGGTAGCTAGCTTTAAGTGACCAATATGAGAAATGGGTAAATTAGTACCATTTGCAACACACACATGATGCGGACCGGTGTAAGGAGATTTATACGAGAGAATACCTTCGTGAGGGGTCATGTGAGCGGAAGCCCCAGAATCAGGATACCAGACCGTATCATGTGTTTCACCAGTAGGTAGGGCAGCGAGAGCAGGTGTACCAGAAGAATTAAACCGGGAGCATTGTAGAGCTGAGTGACCTGGAGAAAAACACAACTGACAGACAACCGGAGGTGGCGGGGACTGAAAAGAATTATCCACAGATGGAAACCTGTACTAACCATGTAAGTAGCAGAAGTAGAAAAATAATCAGTATAATTACTACCAGAATTGAAATTACACAATGCCGAACCTGGACCCGGAGGATATGCATTGCCACGATATACAAGAGCTACTGGTGGTCCTGGCGGTGCAGCATAGGGTTGCTGCTGTCCATACGGCGGTGCGCCGTATTGCTGAAACTGCTGATAGTAACCGCGGCCTCCACGCCCGCGGCCGCCACGAGCTCGTCTGCCACCGCGCTGTCCACGTCCCCCACGAGGACCACCCCCTCCCCGAGGAGCACCTCCTCGGCCTGGACCTGCTGGAGGACCACCCTGAGCTGCGGCAAAAGCTTGATGTGTTGGCAGGGCATCTTGTTCCCGTAAATAATTATTGTGATGCTCTTGTGCTTGAAGAATTGGCCTTAAGTTCTCCAACGTAGCATTACCCGGGAAGTAGTTAATAGCAGTGATAAGAGACTCATAATCACGACCCAAACCAATAATGGCATACTCAATTAAATCCCAATTACTAACCGGGGAATTAATGGTTGCCAGATTGTCCGCCGTGATTTTTATTTCTAACAAATATTGGTCCATGGTCTGATTATCTTTCTTTTTCACATGTGATAATGCCCGCTTGAGCTCAATAGAACGAGTGAAGCAAGCAGACATAAAACGAGATTGAAGTCTTTCCCAAATAAGGTGAGAAAACTTCAGATCATAATCTTCCATCAAAATATCCCGGGCCAGAGTAGCAAAGAGCCAAGAGCGAATAGTTTGGTCAATTTTTAACCAATAAGGATAATCATGGTCAGTAGTTAGAGGAGCTGGAATGGATCCATCTAGAATACCCAAAAGGCTGTGAGAAACTAAAAAGGATTCAAACTGAGTCCTCCACGGTAAATAATCTTCCACGGCCGAAAGGCGAGTAGTCACAATATTATTAACGTTAGGTGTGGAAAAGGCCATATGAGATGCCAGGGATGATAAAAGAGTTGAGGACAGATGCAAACCTGGCGTGGCAGTTTGCTGAAAGAGTTGATGCGGTTGAATGCCTGGCTGGCCGGAAAGAGTGGGACCTGCGAACGGAACAACCGGATTACCGATGCTAGGGAGTACTGTGGACGCAGGAGCAGTGACCGTGGAGGAGGATGGTGCCCATGAAAACGGTTCAGGCATATTAAACAATCTATATGATTCTAGAGGCGGTAGAGAGGGAAACCGTTGTGATAAAGAAGCTGGAATCGGAGACCACGGTTGTGCGTTGGAAAGCTGAGGCGGCGCCATGAAGGACGTGGTCTGGATCGCGCGCGAGATGCTGCTGCTTGATCCGGAGGCCTGAACTGGACTGCTGGGAACAATAGTTGACGATGGTGGAGTCATGGATGACGATAGCGGCTGCACCATGGTTGAGGGCGCCATCGACGATGATGTAGCAGAGGCAGAGGTTGAGCCGGCCATAGGGAGGAACGAAGGAAAAACCCTAAGCGACTGATACCATATACATAGTAATGAATTTTGGGAAATAATGACTTGCCCTGTTGGGTGTCTTGGCCTTATATTTATAATAAACAGAATAAGAAATCTTGGCCTTATATTTATAATAAACAGAATAAGAAAAATTACACATAGGTCCTTAGATATTACATTATTAGGAAGAAGGTGGCACGGTTATTTAGAAAAGTGGGTTTGTGTGGTTGATATTAATTGATAAGGTAAGAATAAAGTCAGAATGATTTAGAGTCATACAAACTTTGCCAAATATTATATGGGACAATTTACGTGGGACTTCCCGAAAAGGTAAAACGGGACAATATAAATGGGACAATTTTCATGCAAGATAGTTTGTATTATTTAAAGTTATTTTCTCTTTTAAAAACTTTTATATATTGGCAAAAGGTATCTAACAAGGCTATAAATTTAAAAAAAAAAATCTAATGTCACCATCAGATTTTATATCGTTGTCAAAGGATCAGGAATATATTTTTTTAAAGTAATTTTATCAAAAATCAAAGGAAATTAAAACGCTAATGGAAGATAACTGCTAATGAGGGGTTAGAGCTAAAGGATAAATATAAAAAACTAATCAAAATAGAATCCTCGAGGGTCCCAAGAGAAATCTCTTGAGGAAACAAAAAGTTCTTGGTCCGATAATCGTGTCGAAAAACACATATCTTCAGTTTACTAATCTGAAGATTATGAGCCTGAAATATTTTGAGTCTAATAGAGCTTGAAATTTCACCCCTCAGTTGACTTGCGAATTTCAGGAGTAGCTTCATTTTGAAAGTTTGATTCACGAAATGTACACTTATCCATAACAATGTTTGCAAAACTCTGTTTAGATAGAACTTTATTGTTCAAAGTTGAAATATTGTTATTGTTCTGTGTATTTAAAGCCTCCCTATATTATCTAAGTTCGAATTATTTTCCCTGAAAGCTTGTAAGTCAGCTCGAAATAAAGACTAATACGAGTATAAAGAAACGCTATACTCAAGGATGTCATATTTACAACTCGTTTGGTAACCCATCTTTTCGCCTTATCACACAACTTTTCACCACACTCACAATTTTTATTTCACGCGTTGAAATGTGCCATGATCAAAATTATGTGAAGTTGGAGTTACTTTTCGGGCTGGATAGGTTGAAGTCACTATAAATGTAGTCAATTTCAGTGTTACCAAACATGCTCTTAGATTTCAATAATTTAAATAGTCATATTTCAAGTCTTTCTTACTAATTGATTTCCTTGATTTTTTTTTACCGGAAAGGATGATTTCCTTGCATTTTGCGTAAGCAAAACTAAATAAATACTCCCTCCGTCCCGAAAACAACTTTCCGGTTTGACCTACACACATATTTAGGAAATAAATTTGACTTTACTGTAGAGTGCACTGTTTGGCACTGTTTAAACACTGTTTGACACTGTTTAAACACTGTTTGGCACTGTTTAAACACTGTTTGGCACTGTTTAAACACTGTTTGGCACTGTTTATCACTTTTTTGATGTAGATAATTTGCCAAATAAGGAAAGTATTGAAGTGGGAAGTTAATTTTGGGACATCCATTTAAGGAAAGTGGGAAGTTGTTTTCGGGACGGAGGGAGTATCTAATAAACTTGTGAAGTACAAATATTTTATACACTACTATTGTGAAATAATTATGAAAATGTTGCAGGGCTATCACGATTTACCTTACACAATTTACTATGTCTAGCAGATGTCTGCGTAAATGCCTTAATGTTTATGACAATTTTTATTCTTTCATAACTCGGGCGGGGAAAATGAGACCCGACTGTAAGTAACGATCATGGCTCATTTGTGAAAGAATTGGTTTCATAAAAATTGAAACCATTCTAGAAGTGAAGTTGCTCAATTGTGATCCAGACATATGAGTGAACTTCATATGATATGCTTTCCCCCTGATTTGAATCGCTTAGATGAATTTGTTTCTCTTATTGCTGATTGGCATGAGCAATGACTGCACTGAAAACTCCTAATTCTTTTAGGTGCTTAATTATAACCTGTCACAAACATGTTCACCTCATCTCAACATATATATGAAAAATATGTAAATGTTTTAAAGTTTGACCCCACGATGTAAAATTATCAATCATCTACCTTCAAATAAATAATTATGACTTCAATTGTGCACAATATCAAAAATCATTAAACCAAAGGCAGGAGTGCGATCTACCATGGGTGAATATATGCGTGTGAAGAGGCCACCTTTGAGAAGTTTATGCTTAACTTCTTCGCTGTTCCAAACTACATGCTCATTATACCTATATATATATAGTGACAAAATAATATAATATTAATGAAAAAATGTGTTGGTCCATGTAATCTTATATATGTAGTGTTTCATATATAATGTTGTAGTTTATTAGTTCATATTTCAATGACAGTGAAAATCAGCAACACCACCTCTCATGATCACATACTCGTATGGATCGCAAGGACGGAGCCAAGTTTTGGATTGTGGTGTCAATCGACACCACTAAAAGGTATATTTACACATATGTGTATGCAGAGCCGGTCCCAAGAAAATACGGGCCCTGTGCAAAAATAAAATGTAGGCTTTTTCCTAAAATAGGTAGAAATATAATATAAGTGAAGATTATATTTGTAAAAATTTGCTACAATAATAATTCATATATATCAAAATACAAGTTATTCACTAACATAATAGTTAAAATAAAACTATTCCCTAACAAAATACACTTCATTTATTTGTTAAATTGAATTATAAATTAATAGTTAAAATAAAACTATTCCCTAACATCAATATAATTGATAGACGTACGTAATGAGCATTTGATAGTTGATACATATTTAATAGTTTGTTAATTTAATAATGACATGCAATAAAAAGTAATAGTAGTTATAATTATAATTACAAATTAATATTAATAATTGTAGTGGATGGCATATATGAGCTTAGAATCTAATGAGTTTTTGGTTATACTTTATATGATATAAAACTACGAATTGAGAGGATGTTAACAACAACCTAATGGTTGAGCCAGTTTACTGTCCTCATGGGTAAGAAACCCACCAGGGTTCGAATCCCCTGGTGTTAAATTTTTTTAATTGTGAAGCATGGGATCCGAAAATTGGGCTCTATTTGTTGTGATACTAAAGGAGGGCTGTTGAAAATTTGGGCCCTTGAAATTTATGGGCCCTGTGCGGCAGCACCGCTGGCACACCCTTTGGGCCGGCCCTGTGTGTATGTATATAATTTGAAACACATATTCAAAAAATGACACCACATTTATTTTTTAAAAAGGGGTCAATATGTAACTTCTACTCACTTTATCTTACCTATTTTTCTCATGTTTGATTGACATAAAATAAAAATAATATTGTTACGATTTATCTAAAAAGTGGAACAATATACCTTAAAGAACAAAATAGTATTGAGAGTCAATTGATTTTATTGTTATTTCATATTTAGAGCCCGTTTGGTGACCCCTTTTTTCGGCTTATGAGGCTTATCAGCCAGCTTTATCATCAAACACATAACTTTTGATTTCGCGCGTTGGATTGTGTAATAAGCAGAAAAAGTAAGGCTGAATTACTTTTCTGGCTGTATTGGCTGAAGTTACTGTAGAGGATCATTGTAGCTATTTTTCATATAATTTTTTAATTTTATTTATCAATAACAAATATTTTAAATATAATTTTTTCATGAATCAGCGGATTTTGCCAATAAAGTCACTTCAGCCAGAACTTCATAAATTTCAGCAAAATCAGTCAATACAGCCAATTTTAGTGTTACCAAACGGGCTCTTATTCTACAAGTTTTGAAAATACCTCAATATTTTTTATCTGAGTAAGTTTGTTGGCTTCTATAATGTTAATATAGTATATAGCACATATGAGAAGCCAACAATCTTACTCAAAAAATTATTGAAGTATTTTCAAAACCTGTAAAATAGTTAATCAACTATGTTAGTTATATAATGAATGTTATACTATAGATGATTAATCAACTATACACTACAAAAAACAACCATTTTGGCAGGGATTAGGCACGGAGCTTTGGCACGGATTTGCCAAAATTCATAGGGTATTTGGCACGGATTTGACAAGTCCGTGTCAAATCCGTGCCAAATTCCGTGCCAAAGTCGTTTTGTCACCAGCTATTTGGCACGACGCTGTGCCAAAAATAAATTACGGTCCTTGCCAAAGTCGCTCAATCTGCGCCAAGTCCGTGCCTATTTGGATGTTTTTTTGTAGTGATATAATCATTTAGTAAAGTCATTATATATTAATAAACGGTTAATATATATAATGAATGCTATACTAGCTTAGTATGTTTGGCTTCGACATACCATGTTAAAATCATTGCTTTCCGTCATAAAACTTATCCATATTTTATGTGGCAAATATGGGATGTTTGGATCTGATTCTTAAAACAGATTTTGCTCCTTCAGGGAGCAGAACCAGAAGCTGGAGTGTTTGGGTGAAAGTGCAAAAGTGATTCTGGTGCTATAATTTACTCCTAGAATCAATTTTTTTAGAAGCTTGGGGAGACCATCTTCTGAAAACTGATTCTGATTCTGCTTCTGCTTTAAAAAAAGCAGAAGCAGAATCAGTTCCAAACACCCCTATATCAACAAATTTAATAATATGGGAAATGAGTTTAAGTAAATTTGTTTTATGCATAATTACATACGGTATTACCATTGACACATTTCATCTTTTGTTGTTGTTGACGCTATTACATATGCCTGCAACGAGAAAGAAGATACAATTGTGTTTTAATACCAAAAAAGTAATGAGTTAATTGGTTTGGTTTCCGTCTCATATTAGACTTAAATAGAGCAAATTAGATCAGACCATATCATACATATCATATCACACTTCGACAATTGTAAAATACACATAGAACAGACATCTACAAGACCAATTTACACCAGATCAGACTAAACCAAATTAAACTTAACAAATCAAACCCAACCAGACCATAGTAGAAAATTACAGTACAACTAACAAACATCCTAAGAAGACGTTAGGCTTAAAAACTATGTTTAAAAAACCGACCCGACCCGACCCGGCCGGGTTGACCCGGAACCCGGTGACCCGGACAAAAAACCGGTTCGGTTTTTTCAAAACCCGGAAATGGTCAAAAACCGGAAAAACTCGGCTGACCCGGGAAAACCCGGTCAAGACCCGGACCCAAGAAACCCGAAAAACCCGGTAAAACCCAGTTTTATGGTGTTTTTACCAAAAAAAAAATAATTTCTTTTTTATTTTTAATGCATTTTTTATACCAATAAAATTGCAATATAATTTCAATACCTTAAAAAGAAAAACTACGTAATATATTAATTTAAGAATGAACATCATGCCAAATTATAATATAGATGTACAATAAAAATAAAAATATCATTATATATTTTTATAAGGTCAAAATATACATTGAAATATTATAAGAGTGTATTAAATGCTTAATAAGTCGTATTGTTAGTTGATTATTATGAATAGTAACTAATTTTTATTATAATTTTATATATAATTATATGTTTACTATTATTATATAGACGTATAATCATTGACCGGTTTTCCGGCGTTGACCGGGTTGACCCACCGAGTCCGGGTTGACCCGTAACCCAGTCATGTGGCCGGGTCACTCTCCGGTCCGGTTTTTACAACATAGCTTTAAAATAGAGTATTTTCCTTTAATATTACTAAAAAGTTACATATGGACAAAAAGATTACTACAGTTGCTCAGCATAGCCACTATATTGTAGAGTTAAACAAAATCATGGTCACTAAAGTTACTATCATAGTCATTAATATATATATATATATATATATATATATATATATATTCCACTACATTTATTTAGGTCATATGTTTGTCGTCATTTCTAAAAAAATATTAGTCTAACATTAAACATGAAGATAAAACTCTACAAGCTAGCTACTTACATCTCTATCAAATGGAAGAAAGAAGCAACGGTTAAGATTTTCCTTTCTAAGCTTACAATTACAACGATCACGCCTTGAGGTCAAATCCGAGAACTTGGAATATGTGTAGTGTAGAATTGCAGCCTCGTGGAACTCCACCTCCCTGAATCATTTTTTAGGCTTACAATTACTTCTTTTCTTATAAATAAGGAAATATTCCTTTTTGAAGCTAGAAATAAATCAACACGTGTATGATAAAAAACTAACACATAATATATACGTAGTAAATATGAAGAAACAAGCTAACATCTTATTATCGTTATTACTATAGTTATTATTATTTGTTATCATTATGTACCCTTCTGTATATATTATTACCATTATTAATTAGTTTCATATTGTTATTAATAATAGTAGTTTCCACTAGTATTGAAAATATACTTAAGTTAATATTCTTAGTTCGTAGTTAGTACTCTAATAGATTTTGGGTTACTTTAACATTAATCTACCAAGTAGGACGAAACGATTATTGTAATATTACAATATAGGTGGGATAAATAATATCAAGTAAATAGTCATTGAATGTGGCAATTCTTTTTAAAAGAACAAATAAAGAAAACTAGCAAATTTTTGTGAGGATGAAATAGATTATTAAAGTAATAATCCATATTTGTACATTGTAACATATAATTAAGAGTGTAGAGTTCAAGAATGATGAGTGTACATTGGAGTCTTGAGATAGTTTGACCATCTATGAGCACCATTAGGGCGAAGATAGTCTTGGATACGGGCAGCTGATTTTCCGTTTCCATAAGTCAAGAAGTAGTTTGAAGTTCCGTGAGACACTTCTCGAAAATATTTTGCATATGTCTCTCTAGGAAGGTGATCACTGTTCTTCTTGAACAATGACACCTGCAAAACTTAAGACATTGTCAAAATGTGTAAAACCATAACAAACGATCTATCTATATGTACATATGGAGTAGTTGTTTGGAACTAAGCTAGTATTCTTATTTAGTTGAGAGTTGAGACTTCGGAGATTACAATTATGAAAAATGTGCATTGACAGTGACTAGGTCGGGTGGGCACGCCTGGTTAATTAACTGAAGCGAGATATTAGTTACTAAATTTTCAATACAATTACCCCTATCATTGCATCGATTAACCGGACATCGGTTCATCAAAAATTTGGTCAATCAATAAAGTATAAACCGTGAAAGAAAAAATAAACCTGCCAATATTGTTTTTTAAATGCTCAACTTACAATTTTTAAATGGTCTCCATAACACATCCAAAATACAAATTAATGTATAAATTTTCATATAGACCCCTAATTCAACAGTACGACCACCCCCTTTGACAAAGTTTGTTCAATTTGGTTTTGTAGTAAGTTATTGATAGTTTGGCTCACTCACAATAATTATTTATTTACGGATAGTATTAGGCATTTTTTTACAACTATTTCGTACTTTCATTCTATATTATTAGCATATGAATAGATTTTGTGGTATAGCAGTTGAAAATTCAGCACCAATGCCCACAACAATGTAATACTAGGGAGTATAATAAGTAGTTTAGCGTATTAAAGGGAAGGGTTTAATTTCTTGGGAGCTTAAGAACTCCGGGTGTGTAAAACGGTCAAGGAGTGTTGTATTCACGCAAGATCAATTATAAGAAACATATATTATCTGCAATTTCAATTTATTAGTTAACAAACCATAATATAATTCCAAAATTGTAACTGTATCATCAATAACTTTTTGCCCTACATCTATTTTATCGTACCACGAGTGTTTAAAAATCCAATAATGTTAACAAAAAAATCATGCATTTTTTAGTTTTTGGGGTTCCATTAATCTCTTTTTTGTGCCACTCTAAATAGTGACATTGTTATTGGTACTTAAATTGTAACACATGATTCTTGTGATGTCATGTCATTGCTTAGTACTCCGTAGTATTCAATGTGACGACATATGTGCAAAACAAACACTTTTTATGTACTATTTCACTAATATTATGTTTAGTTTAAGAAAAATACTATATATGGGTGTGTATTGCTCAATTTTTATTTACATAGTTGGTTTTAGTCAATTGCGATTTAATTATTTTCGATCACTTCATATTAGATTCGGTGGGTTTCAGCAAATTTTGATCTTTTTGTTTAGCCTTGCAAAACATTATGTCATACAAACACACACACATCCTATTTTTAGCCTTGAAAGAAGAGACAAATTATAATAATTCAAATAGTATACGAGTATACCGTATACGTAATTATTTATTGTGACTATGAAAGAACTCTTACTTCTGTAAAAGGTTCCTTGATATTATCTCTTTCTACACAGCTTTCCTGAAAACGTTCACAATTAGAACTTTAGAAGCAAATCAAAATTCATTAACTAACAACATACAATTCAATACATAATACAAATTCCACTGACTAATTTGCATGTCTTATTCGCAAGACAAGCTTAAGTTTAGTACGGAGTATAAGTTTAAATATAGTCAAATTTAACTTTTTACCTAGTTTAGTAGTGAAATTAGAAATTTTATTCTGCCTCACCTTTATGAAAAATAATATTTTCACCTCATTCTCTAACGATTTTAATAGAGATCTATATGGTACAAAATCATATTTGTCACACTGAGTACATCGAAATATATAGTTAATTAGTATGTCAGCATACTCACTATAGAGCACGTTATCATGATTAATGTTGATGATCTTTCCATCTTTAAAATTGGGAAAATCTTCATCACATGTCAGGGCAGTCACACCATGCCAGAGTTCCATAGTGAGCACATTGACTTGCTAACTAAATTTATTCCAATGCATATAAAAATATACTCCCTCCACCTTTAATATAAGAGCATCTCCAATGCTATAATGTCCACAGTGCACATGTGGCATGAGTGATAGCCACATAAATATTAGCAAATAAATTATCTCTCTCCTTATTTGAATGATTTTATACAATTTTGGTAAGTTTTTTCCTGCAATGTCAACAACAATGTCAACATCTAGACGGTCTCCTTGACATTGTAGAGAAAAACTTACCAAAACTGTATAAAATCATTCAAATAAGGAGAGAAAGAATTTATTTACTAATATTTATGTGGTCATTTCTCATGCCACGTGTGCACCGTCCACATTTTACCATTGGAGATGCTCTAAGTCCTCTTAGGCTTTGGCACGAGTTTTAAGAGGAAAATAGTAGGGGTAGTGTAAGAGGTGTAATGAGTAGTGGATAAATGAAAAAGTAGGAAAGAGAAAGGGGTAATGGTATTAAAAGTGGGGATATAAAGGTATATTTAGAGTAAAAAGTTTCCTTAAATGGAAAGGAGGACAGATAAAAAAAAACGTCCCAAAAAGAAAAGAAGACTTTTATTAAAGAACGGAGGGAGTAGTTTAAATATGTCTATCCGTGGAACTATTTGGTCCATACCCTCGACTCAACCCATGGGCCTATGAAAGCTAACGTAAAATAAAGTGAAAAGTAGGTCTATCCGTCCAACATTTTGATATGGCTTTTGAGTTTTTGAACCAACTGCTGAGATTAAACTCCTTAAAGTATTTAGAAACACAGGGAAAAAACTGATAGCATAAAACCAAATCTAAATATTATTAGCAAGTGATAGATATAATCAACATGGTAAATGCCTAAGTTTAACATATGAATATTAAGTACGGAAGAATAAGCAACAATTACAGGTAAATAGTTAACTCACATAATTAGTAAAAACGACAGCGTCAACCTCAGGAGGAATGTTATGGAGGAGCTCTTGTACAGAATATTCTTGAGTCCCAGCTGGATGAATAAGTTCGTCCGTATCCAGATGGAATATCCAATTCATGTCAGCTTCCTTAATTATTATCAAAATTGAAACTACTTACACACATAAATATATGAATATAATATATGTTATTTTCATTATCATGTATATATATTGTGTGTGAAAGTATCATCACAATAATATTATATCTTGAATTGTAAATTTGCAATGACAAAAGTAATGCTAATTTTTTCCACAAAATTCCAAAATCCCAAGTCTATTCAATTTCTCTCTCTTCATCCTTTGTGTCGCAGGAGGACCCCTCAAGGATAGTGGCAGGAGGACCAAAGTCAAGAGAATAAATTTAGACTCGGGATTTAGACTCTATACAATAATAGTTCTATAGTTGATTAGTGTCTTGAAATTGTGAAATTATTTAGTTACGTGCTATTGAGCTAATGTACTTAAGCAATTTTTTTTTAGCAAAACGGTCTGAAATTATGATTCTATGATGATTTTTGTATTGAATTTTTTATGTATTTAAGTTGTGATCATCTATTAGTGCAAAAGTGCAAAATTGTTAAACTTATGAGATTCTATTAGTTCAAAAGTGCAAAATTGTTAAACTTATGAGATTCACCAATTTAATTACTTTCAAAATGTCCTAAAATTGGTTGAATCTAGATGAAAGAAAGAGAATAAGAGAAGAAAATTAGATGATTTTAAATCAAAAGAGTTTAGTGGAAAAACTCGTTTGTGCGAAGAAGTCAAAATTTTAACATCTTCCCCAATACGATAGAGATACATTACCAACTCTATAATCATTTTCTTCCTTATTATAAAGATTTTGAAATATTTTTGTGATATGTATTGGTTTAGACATAAAACATTTTATAATTTCCTTTTTAAGATTAACCATCACCTACCCAAAGGCTCTATATATATACATGGGGCCCGCAGCCTTGGCCGCTGACGGCCTGACAGTATGAAATCCCGATAATGTCACCGGCAACGAAATATTAAAATCGTTGCCAATGTCAATTAATATTAAAGTAGTTACATGTATTAAAAAATGGAAATTTTTTAGATGGTAATTTTTTTATGTGTATTATTTTAGCAATTTCTCTTGATTATATTTTCTTTTTCTATTGTATATTCACTCCAAATTTCACCAGTTTTAAATATTTCGTTTTCATCTCTTGTTATGTACTTTTCTAGTTTTTTATACTAGCTATTTATTACTGTGTTATTTTCATCATATATCTTCATCAAATTCCTATAAGAGCAAGCATTGAACAAGTGAGGGAGCATGTAAATGTCATGAATCAAAATAATGTGAGATTTACCAATTTGGAATGCAATTGAAGCAATATAAATGGAGACGACATACCCTTGCCAACACAATGCCCATCTCCATATTTAGGGTCTGCTTTACGAATAATTCATAGTTGCATGGTCGGTAGAAAACATTCTTTGTCCATGTTTCATTCCAAATTCGGCTAAAGTAAACCAAAGTGATTATGATATTAGTACTCGAATAAGTGACGGGAAATTTGTAGTCTTAATTTATTCATCTATTGTTTTCTTCTACATAGGAGTAATAAATGATGACATTATAGTAGTATGTTTTTGTCAGTTGTGTCAAAATGAGTTTAATGCACCAAACCCCTTTATGACATATAAATTCGGCCCATTAGTCCTTGTGATTTAAGAAGTGCGTCAAACCCCCATGTGTTATAATTATTCATGCGCAAAGCCTCCCTTCAAGAACAATTCTAACAGATTTGAACTAGAACTTCATAAATTTCAACTAAACCAGCCGATTCACCCAATTGCAATGATACCACAATTTCAATCACTTCCGTTAGAACTTCATAATATCAATTGAGTACAAGACGATGATAAAAATAAATGAAAATAGGGGAAGGGAACATCATGAAAAAAGATCAATTTAATGAGAGTTATTAAATGTGACACTACTTCAATTCATATTCTACTCGAAATATTCCACTCCTTGAGCCGTCACTGATTTCTAATTTTCTAAATTAATTCTGATAGTAACGTAATCTATTACCTATTACTCTGTAATTCTATATTACATTTGAACATTTGTTCAAAAAAAATTATTACATTTGAACATAACCGTATTCATTCACGTAATCATAAAGGCAGTAATAATGCACTAATGTTAGTTGAATGTGACTTGGTAAGGTTGATTTTTTGACGAAGTAAGGGGTTATGTTAGTCTGATCTTTAAGGGAAGTTAGTTCTACATTATAATAAGAACGCAAGTTTGTGTGCATAAAAAGCATTGACACAAATCAAGAATATTGCCCTATATTCACAATTATAATGTTTTTAGACTATAAATCTATAAGACTATAACAATAATAATATAATGTTATATTGTTTTTGTTAGGAAAATTATAGATATAGTCCTTTAATTCACACCTATGTTTAAGAAACCACCCGAGCCGGGTTCACCCGAGTAAACTACCGCTCTGGTACATGTAAGTAACCAGAAAAGGTCAACACAAACACCCTGTGGAACCAATCAATATCTGGCAGAACCGGCCAAGACCCGGTAGAATCGGTCAAAATCCGGCACAACCGGTCAATTTGGACCCAGTTAGACCTTTCATTTCCTAATCGACAATTGTGGATGTAAAGAGGAAGAAGATGACGAGAGAGAGGGCATTCCTTCAATTTCCCATAGATGTTTCGCACTTCCAATCAAAATGACAATAAAGTTGTAGATTGAAGAGGGTGAATGCAGGGCCGGCGTTTACCCGGTTAATTGTGTTCTTCGGATAAACGATTTGACAGATAAACGACTTGGGAATCCTCACGTCATGATTGAGATTAACCCTGCCATCTACCGCCCTCCTGAGTTCATCGAGACGCCTCCTGAGAGCGTCATTATCCTGGCAAGACTGGATGCGAGGTGGGGAGGCGCGATCTTTGCGGGCTTGTCGATGCTCTAGGATCTCGTTTCTGAGATCTCCCCCATGTGCATTGCGACGGTGGGAAGAAACGGCTGTGGAGGACTCTTCATCACCCGTTTCCACCCTGGAGGAGAGCGTGTCATGCACAGAGACCCTTCGTCCTCCACTACGACCCATCACTGAAGCCCTCAGGGTCTTCCTAGAATGATGAGATCTCTGGGATCTCGCCGGTGGCGAGTTTCTCTGACGGTGCGCAGATACCGCCTCCCCCCCCCCCCCGTTGGGGCACATGTGGAACTCGGTGAGGGGAAGGAGGTCTTTCATTCGTGTTGGGAATAATCCCCTCAAAGACGTTGGTAACAAGACTCCATATGAGCTTTTATTTGGCAAACCTCCCCGTTACACTGAACTTCGCACTTTTGGGTGCCTATGCTATGCTTATGATAAAAATCGAAGTGGTGATAAATTTGCCTCCCGTGGTGTTAAGTGTGTGTTCCTTGGGTATGCATATTCTCAAAAGGGATGGAAAGTGTTTGATTTGGAGCATCATCGTCATTTTGTCACCCGTGATGTACGTTTTTTTGAGAATATATTTCCCTACAACATGCCTCCTGGTCCAGATAATACCTCCCCACCTCCCTTGCCATATGGAACCCATAATGATGCAACTTCATGGGAATTAGACCCACCTATTCTGCCTGTTACCCAATCCACTCACCCTTTGCCATCTGCCCCCATACCTCCTCAGCCAGAATTGTCCCATGACTCGGTTTCTCAACCCACTAATCCCAGGCAATCATCATCCAGCACCTGTAATTCAGAACCCAACACAGAGACCCACGTTGCACCCAATGCACCGCCTATTACCACACCTCCAGCACCAGTTTCCCGGCAGACTGGGCGCCCTCGACGACCACCCTCCTGGCATGCGGATTATGAGGTTAGCCTTAACACTGTGCATATAGGGACTTCCCCCGTTGTCTCGTCTGCTTCACCGGTACCCTCAGGTACTCCTTATCCCCTGTCTAATTACGTAACTTATAATTGTTTTTCTATTCCTCACCGTGCTTTTCTAGCGGCGATCAGTGGTCAGCGTGAGCCTGAATCTTTTCGTGAAGCTGTTCAGGACCCCCAGTGGCGAGCTGCTATGCAAAATGAAATCAGTGCATTAGAACGTAATGGGACCTGGCGCATTCAACACCTCCCGCCTGGAAAACGAGCCATCTTTTGTAAATGGGTTTATAAGCTCAAATACAAAAGTGATGGTTCACTTGATCGCTATAAAGCCCGACTAGTTGTTTGCGGAAATCGCCAAGTACATGGGGTTGATTATAACAACACGTTTGCTCCGGTTGCTAAGATGGTTACGGTTCGTACAATTTTGGCAGTCGCTGCATCACGAGACTGGGTGGTTCACCAGATGGATGTTGATAATGCTTTCTTGCACGAGGATCTTGGCGAAGAAGTCTATATGCAGTTGCCTCCCGGTTATTCCTCCTCCTCACCGGGACAGGTGTGTCGCTTATTGAAATCCTTATATGGGCTGCGCCAAGCTCCACGTTGTTGGTTTTCTAAACTGACTAGTGCACTCCGCACTTATGGTTTTACTCAGTCTTCTGCTGATTATTCCTTGTTCACCTATCGTAAGCCTGTGAAGGTTCTCTGTATTTTAATCTATGTTGATGATCTTCTTATTACTGGAAATAATCTTGATTTAATCTTGGAATTTCAAAAATATATTTCCACTCATTTTCCTGTCAAGGACTTGGGTGTTATGAAATATTTCCTCGGTTTGGAAGTTGCTCGGAATCCAACTGGCATATTTCTTTGCCAACGCAAATATGTTTTGGATATTCTTAATGAAACTGGTATGCTTGGAGCTAGGCCCGTTGCTTTTCCAATAGTTCAAAATCATGGACTCTAAACGGATGAGGGGCCTATTTATTCTGATCCTGATCAATACCGACGCTTGGTTGGCAAACTTATTTATCTCACATTAATTAACCCGACCGGATATCTGCTATGCTGTGCATGTTCTTTCTCAATTTATGCAGACCCCACGCGTGGCACATTGGGAAGCAGTAGTGCGTGTTTTGCGCTATCTCAAAGGCCATCTTGGGCAAGGCATTCTACTTAGGCGTGACTCTTCACTCACTCTCTCTGGATATTGTGATTCTGACTAGGCTAGCTGCCCTATAACGCGTCGTTCCACTTCTGGATATTTTGTCTTGCTCGGTGATTCTCCCATCTCTTGGCGCACAAAGAAACAGGCCACGGTATCTCGTTCCTCAGCTGAAGCGCAGTATAGGTCCATGGCCTCTCTTGGTTCTGAGCTCATTTGGCTCAAAAGCTTGTTGTCTTCTCTTGGTGTCTCACATTCCACTTCCATTAGCCTATTTTGTGATAATAAGGCGGCACTTCATATTGCCTCTAATCCCGTCTTTCACGAGCGTACAAAACATATTGAGATCAATTGTCATTTCATACGTCATCATATTCAAAACGGGACAATTGTCACTGCACATCGTCCTTCGGCAGATCAACTGGCGGATATCTTTACTAAGGCCCTTGGTCAAGCTCAATTTCAGTATTTGCTATCCAAGATGGGTCTTCGGGATCCTCACTCTCCATCTTGAGGGGGGATGTTGGAAACATGCAGCACATATTTACGTACATAGTCACATGCATTTTATTGTGTACATTATTTTGTATTATTTCTTGTTGCTAACTCCTTCCTTTTCTTTCGGCCGAAGGCTTGTAACGTTAGTGGACTTCCCCTTGGTAGAATTCTTTTAGATTAGCTTTATCACTTGCTATTCTTTAGCTGCGCACAGTTGTATTATTAGAAAAATATTCCCATTTGCTTCGTGCATATTTGTCATTTTGCATTACATGTATATACTCCGTATTAATTTCGAAGTGTAAAACTTCACTTATTAAGAATGCTAAGAGGTAGAATTTTCAATTTCCATGCTTAAATATAAGGCAATTTTATAGACCTTATTTTAAGATTTATAACATATTTACTCGTGAGTTTGCTTTTTCAAAAACTAAACGAGTAACATAAAAATTCATACGAAGTAATTGCTTTGAGTTTTTGTGAGACCATGTTGATATGGTCAACTTCTTTCATCTAAGAAAAATATATGGAAACAAATCATTATATATAAGATAATATACTACTTCTTCTACATTTGAGAATGAAATTTCGGATCTTAATAAAAAATTATAATTTTCTTGATAAAGCCTAAATCAAAGTAGCATATGAGATTTTGCAATAATTTCCCATGGAAAGGTGATGTAAATATTCCATCTTCTCCAAGAGTCATCTTTGTTTATTCTTCCTCAAAATTAGGACTGCCTTAATTACTTTTTAGAGTAATATTTTAACTAGTATAATTCTTCTTTTAACAAGTTATATAAAACATCACATTCGTTCTTCTTGTCATCCTTTTTGTACACTACATTTAACTCATTCCTACCCGAGCAATGTTTTATTTTTTCTTCAAAATAATTCCACATATTTTTTCCCACATATAAAACTAAAATAAAAGCAGTGGACAAAAATGTGACCCTAGTGACTTTAGTGACTATAATTGTATTCAAATGTTACATTATAGTCATTTTAAAACTTATATGAAGTAGTACATATAGTAACATATAATCACATTTTTGTCTACAAGTTTTTTATTAGTACTATTTTAGAAAAAAATATTTGTAGGTGTAGGAAGGAGAAGTCGATCAGCATTGTTGGAAAGAAGGCAATTAATATTCCATAGCAAATAACTGAAAAGTTACTCTTAAGATTGTGGTTCATCTAAAAGGTTAATTTGATACGAGTAATTAGAATTTTAATATAGTATTCTTATTACTACTTCCGTCCCGTTGGAAGGTTCCCATAGCAAAACGGCACGGTTATTTAGACAATAATTAAATAAAGTACTTCGAGTATATTTTAAAAAATAATTTTAATAGGTATATATTATAATGTAGTTAGTATTGATAATTGTGATGTTATAAATGTATTATTTTTAATATTTAATGATTAATTTGTCACTTAAGATCGATTGTTAATTGTTTCTTAAAATGGAAATGAGAATCTTTATATGGGACGTCCAAAAAAGAAAAGTGAGAACCTTCTAATGGGACGGGGGGAATACTTTTTAATTTACCGGTGCGAGACTTCAACGCCATTCCCCACTACTAGACTTCAACACACCTCCTTACGTCCAGACATTTCGTCTGAATTGTGCCGCCATTCAATTTTTTGATAAGTTCATCATTGTCATTTTGTCGTAATCGTGTCGTCATTTTTCGTAGATGCCCACATCATGACAATGGGTGGGTTTGGCTTTGATAAAATGTTAAGAGCGGGCATACATCCTAAAAGCTTAACTGGATACTACTTCATACTATATTACCCCTATGTCCCCTTTTAGTTAGCCAAATTTCACTTTTCAAGTCAATGATGTCTAACTTTGACGAATTATATAAGTATATAACTATATATTAAAGTATTGATAATATGAAAATGATATGAAAATGTTCTTTGTCAACAATACTATAACAAAAGTATAAAATTATTAAATTTTATATAAATTTATTAGTTAAAGTAATTGGTTTAATGTTATCATCTTTGATTGGAAAAGTCAAACATAGCTAATTAAAATAGGAAAAAGGTGCAAATAAGCCCTCTAACTAACCGAAAAAGTGCAAATAACCCCTTTTATAGAAGGCTCTGTCCGGCCGTCGCCATTTGGGGTGGTTCCCGGTGGATTTTTTTGATAATTTTTTTGAGCATCTTTTTCGTTAAGTCTAGTTTATCCATACCAAATTTCAGCAGTCAAATAAATGTTTGAAGATAAATGCGCAGTTAAACAGCACAATATATTTCAGAAAATCATATGACTTCCTTCCCGATTCAACTTTTAGCTAAAATTTGGTATGAGTAAACTAGACTTATGAAGAAGACGCTAAAAAAATCATCAAAAAAATCCACCGAAAATCACCCCAAATGGCGATGACCGGATAGAGTCTCCTATAAATGGGACTTATTTGCCCCATTTTCCCATTAAAATACGAGGGAGGTAGTACTACTTAATTTACCTGCGTGCGATTAAGAGCACCCACATTCATGATCTTCAACTTTACAATTTTTCATGCCTTATTATTGACATGTCATCTCCACATATGATAATCTCAAATAATCTCCAAATCAATAAATTTATCCTCATTCATGATCTTAATTTATCTTGGATAGGAGCATGAGCATGCACAAACTACAAAGCTAGTCTTCACTATAATTAGGAGTATATATGCCTAGAAGTTGGAAATAATCTCAAAACAATCCAGCTTTAGAATTTGATACCAGATTATTTTATCAAATAAGCTCATAAAATAATCTCAACTCCTCATCCATGATACCAAAAAAAATCCTCCACATCATCAAAATGATCTCAAAAATAATCTATGGATGTGGATGCCCTAAGAACGACTATCAAAATTTTCATCTGACAAATGCAATAAATGAATGCACCACAACAATATTGCACCCAAAAAAAAACTCCTTAGTAAAAAATGTATTTGGATGTAAATTAAAGGAAAAAACATTCGCACGAATTAACAAACCTTGGGAAGAAGATCTTCATCATCATCAGACCCAAACTTGACCTTCCAGTCTCTGAAGTACGGAAAAGATTGCCTCTTCTTGCTCTCTCCCAAAATCTCCTCAAACCCGGAGGACGCCGGCGATGACATCACGGGCCGAGAAAACCCCGGCCAGGGTTCATTACCATAACTGGAAAAACGGGTAACCGGGTCGAGCAACCCGCCCAGCCATTGCAAGATGAATGCGAAGGCCGCTAGAGACAGCGACATTAGAGTCAGAAGATGAATAAAGTTGTTGGGAGCATATTTGTGTGTTGATGATGACTCATGGAACGAAGAAGAAGATGTACGTCTCAGTAAAAGGTCCGCCATTGTTGGAGTTCAGTTCATAGAATTTGCAGAAATAAATGTTTCTCTTTACTCCGTATGAAGCTGCTCTTATTGTGTACTATCTCCGTCCCAAAAAACTTTGTCATTTAAAAAAAAATGAACCTAGATTTTGAGTAGTATAATATCGTTAATAATTTTATACTTGTATGAAGGTACTTTTAACAAAGAATATTTTCATATAATTTTTATATTAAAAAAAAATTCCAATAAAAAGATACTACGTATAATTGGTCAAAGTTTTGAAAATGACAAAGTTTTTTGGGAAGGAGGTAGTATATATACTATCGTATATACTTACTACGGAGTACTATGTACTCCCTCCGTCCCTCTATTAAATTTCTACTTTAACCTACACACATATTTAGGAAATAAATTTGACTTTACTGTTTAGACACTGTTTGACACTGTTTAGACACTGTTTGGCACTATTTAGGCACTGTTTGGCACTGTTTTGCATTATTTGACACTGTTTTGATGTAGGATAACTTTCCATTTAGGGAAATGAGAAGATTATTTTGGCACGGCCCAAACAGGAAAGTAGGAAGTTAATAGCGGGACGGAGGGAGTACAACCTAATTAATTATTATAAATTTTCTATTAATAGTATTACGATTTGTTTCACACTACGCAATTAATTATGCGATAATTCTTACTATATCTGCATGTCGAAGATCATACGAAAAAAGGGAGAGAACTAAAAAACACATTTCATATTAAGAAACTATTAGCTTTAATTACTTAAATAGGACTAAAACATGCATAAAATCACAAATAGAATTACCACGTTTTTAAATAGGACTAAAATAAATATTTATTAAAATTAATAAACATAAAAAATCAGAAAAATAAAAATTATAAATTAAAATAAAAAAATTAAAAACATTTTTTATTAATAAAAAATAATAAATAGTGATAAAAAATAATTTAAAGAAAACTTTAAAAAAAATAAACCCCGATAAAACACATTAAAAGTTGATTTAATTTTCTTTTTATTTTGTTACTATATTTTTATAAATTTGAAATACCTTTTTTTTATTTTTTTTATTTTTCTTTTTAAAAATAATACAAAAAGAGCCAAAAGTCCAAAAATAAAGATGGTTTGGAGGTCATATTGACGATATGCACCTCCCAATATTTTTCTTTCATTTTTTCTGGAACTTTTGAAAATCAGAGTTACTCTCATCGCCTTTCCTCCGACGATTTCTTACGACTTGTGTCGGACCCCTTCAATAGTAATGTAATTAAAACACATGGACTATTTTGGTAAGAAATGAAACACAAAACCTTTTCAGAAAACAGACGCAACCACATGTACATTTTTTGTACTTCTCCCTAGTTTTTTTATCGTGTTTGAAGTTTCAACTTTGGGTTTGTTTGGTTTTCGGCGTATTGGGCCAAAACCGCTGCATTTTGCAGCGTTTCCCTTTGAAAAAAAACAGCGGTTTGGGGTGACCCGCTGTAAAACAAACACCCCCTTTAATTGTGTCAAAGTTTAAAAAAAATGGTGATGTTAGTTCAATATTAAGGGTGAGGATCACATTTACAAAAAATTATACAACTGGGGAGTGACATTATAAAATCAAGAATATATACATGAACTACATATGAATGTAGACGATAAGTAAGGTACACAAAGAGCCCGTTTGACAACTCTATATCTCGGCTTTTCGGTCTTATCAACCAATTGGTTTTTCACCAAACACATATTTTTTTTATTTCGCGCTGGATTGTGTAATAATCAAAATAAGTAAGAGTGTAGTTACTTTTCTATTGAATTGGTTAAAATTTCTGTTTATGTAGTATTCACATGTTTTTTTAAATGCATTGTTGTAAAGATTGTTGTTTATTGACATATAATTAATGTCTAACTAAATTAAGTTTAATTATGTGATTGTTAAATTGCATTTATTAGAATCATATGTTTATTTATGTGGATCCAGTAATTATGATTTAATTTTTAAAAAAGTTAATTATTTACTAATCGATGAATTCAGTAGAATAAATGAGTGGCTTCTTTATTATTCTGTAGCCAATTATCAATAATAATTACTCCACCGTTCCACAAAATTATGTTAACTATCTTTTTTTAACAGTCCTACAAATTTATTATTTCATTGTAAAGTAATAAATACTTCCGTCCTATAAAACTTTGTCATCTTTGAATTTTTGGTCAACCAAGTTCAACTTTGACCAATTATATATTTTTATAACAAGTTATTTATAATATCAAAATGATGTAAAAATATTCTTTGTTAAAAGTACTTTCATAAAAGTATAAAATTTATAATTCCATATACTCCCTCCGTCCCAGGGAGAAGTTCCCGGTTGACTTTCACACATATTAAGGAAATAAAGTTACTGAGGGGTAAATTTTAGTGTTTGGCACTGTTTCGACACTGTTTGGCACTGTTTCGACACTGTTTGGCACTGTTTTGCACTATTTGGCACTGTTTTTATGTAGGATAACTTTCCATTTAAGGAAATCGGAACTTTTTTTAGGACTGCCAATAAAGGAAATTGAGAACTTCTCCCTGGGACGGAGGTAGTATTATACTACGTACAATACTTATCAAAATTATGGTAAACTTTACTACTATTGACTTGAAAAAGTCAAAGACGACTAAGTTTTAAGAGACAAATGCTGTATTTAAATTTAATTTTCCCTAACCGTACAAACATCACACCATAATTTTTTCTTTGGCATTCTACATGGAAGTCAATTATGGTGAAGTTGTATGGGAGACTACCAATTATTATCATTCTATTTTATACGAAGTTCAATATTTGTAGCCGGGTTCATTGCGCTTGAATATAGTGTAGTACTCTATTTTATATTTCAAAATTAAATTTCATTTTTCTAACTTTATTGTGCTATGTTAATTAATTAAATCTGCATGTGTATCCTTTTAATGTTTTTCTAATAATTTGTTTATATTTATTGTCTTTATCCATATTTTGCTAATATTTAATTTGTAACTTACAACTTCTAATTAGGCTTGTACTTAATCATTAAATGTTATTAATTATTAAAAATTAAAAAATATTTTAATAATTATGACAATAAATTTACATATTATTATGGCTGTGTTCGGCAAGCCTTAAAAGCTCAAAATGAGCTGAAATATTTTATTTCCAGACAATTATTTTAGGAGTAGACCTGTTTGGTAAAAGAGCTGAAATGGACTGAATCTGAAAAAATGGGGTTGAATAGCAACGTTACGTTATCCCCTCAAGCGTTTCTATCCAGCCCGTTTTAAAATTTTCTTCCGTTCCCAAATTATCCTCGAGACTCTCATCTTTCTCTCCTTCTCGTCACCACTTTGTTTGTCTGATCCCCACTCTCGGACTAACTACACAGAAACAAGAAACCAGTGGCGATAATGATGTAACGTGTAAAATTGTAAATCCCCTCCATGTTTGCTTCTGGATGCGTTCTCGTATTTTGGATCGTTTTCACATTAAGTTCCAATTTTTTAGTTCTATTCAGTGGCATTTGTATGGAAAAATCAACAAATATGTAGACAGTGATGGTTTGAGATAGTTTTTACTTTTAAAGTCACGTTCCATTACAAGCTTAATATTATAAATTCAACAAGCAAATGACTGAACACGATCGATTAGTTGTTCTTATTAATTAACAAAATAATAAAATAATGGTGATAATAATAGTTACTCAAAAACTTAAACACATTAACAGTTAGATGCTCGGCTATGAAAGATAAAATATTATATATACACATACAAATTTAAATATTATATATATAGACACGCATACATATAAATATTTATATATACTAAGATTTTAAAAACTGAAAATATAAAATCATTATATTATAATAAGTATTTTGTTGTATTAATAAATCATATGCCCTTTACTGTAATTTCATACTGTTCGGACAATTTTTCAGCTCTTTTTGCCAAACGGGTCTACTCCATTCAGTTGTCAAATCAGATTCAGCACTTCAAAGTCCAGTTTCAGACAATAGTCTTTGATTCAGACAACAGGTCATAATTCAGACATTAGCCTCCAGCTCTAGCTTGTTGTGCCAAACATAGCCAATATCAAATGAATTTCTATTTGAATTCCCATTATATTGCATTTGTAATTGTTTATAAAGATTTCATCAGAATCAGGCGTTTTAGTTTTTTAACAAACGGGCTCAAACCAAGGCCGATCCTATCTATTTTCAGGTCTATGGGCGAGATAATATTTTGAGCTTATATTCAAGACTAACAATAAACTATATTTATTTCAAATAAAAATTATAATAAAATCATCTCATAAAGGTCATTAAATAAAAAGCGAAACTCATTTCATTGTTATTATTTAAATTACATATTTGGTGTAAAGTAACAACACAAATATCACATAAAAAGAAAAACATTACTTAAAAACGTTTCTCACGGAATTTTCAAGATTTAATTTCTTAATAAAAACAAAAATTTACATTGATCACTTCTAACTTAACCCTGTCTTTTCTAATCTTCTTCTCTTCCTCTCTTTATCCCAACCTGATTCACCAATTTTATCAAGAATAATTTATTGATCATGGGTGGATTGTTTGAAGCCTTGAAAGAATACGTTTTTGTTTACCGACCACCGTTTGAACTCCTCGATTGATTGGCTTCAATTCTTAACAAACCGCTAAGGCACTCACCGCTTTGCACGTTCTTTACTCTTGTTGATATTGACATTTAGAAACTACAAATCAATTTGGATGGACTTTGCGAATTGGAAGTTTTGGGCTTCGGAGGCCAAAACATAACTTGGTAATATTATAATTAAAAAGATTATAAAACCTAGAGATCCGAAGAGAATTAAGAGCATCTCTAGTCGCACACCCTTGACGGTTAAAAAATGCCATATCATCCTTCTTTAACATTACAGCGAGATTTTGATTTCCAATGCACTATGTTTATCCTCATGTGATGTTGAGTTGATAAAAAATAAATTAGACACTGTATGCATGAATGTTGTCTCACGACATTTCCCTTCACGCATGACTCAGCAAACGTGAAGCATAATTGCTAGGTCTTATTTAGTTTCCTATTTATTAATTTGAATTAAATATATTCCACTTTCAAAACTGGTAGACATCAACGAAATGCATTGCGGAGCATTTGGCTGAGTTTAGGTATTGACATTTATCCTACATGGCTAAGAGCATCTCCAATGCTAAAGCGTTAACGGTGCATACGTGGCATGGAAAATAACCAATTAAAAAACAATAAAGACAATATCTCTCTCCTTCTTTCCACAGTCTTATGTGTTTATGGTAAGTTTTTGTCTGCAATGTCAATCACAATGTCTACATCTAGACATTGTGCTTGACATTGTGAAGATAAACTTACCAAAATGATGTAAGATCCTTTAAATAAGGAGAGAGATATTGTATTTATTATTTTTTAATTGGTTATTTCTGATGCCACGTATGCACCGTTAACGTTTTAGCATTGGAGATGCTCTAAACATTACATACATGTATTGCCATGTGTCACAATTTTTTATGTTGAAAGCGTCCCATTAAAGATGCTCTAAGAGAGGTGTGCCACTTTTACATTCATTTTAAAAATTAAACCTTGAGTCAATTAATTGATCTTAAAAAAAGCCTAATCACACTACATACAAAGAAATAATTTTGAGCCTATTTTTTTACTCTATTTTATTGGGGCAAGGACGGTCGCCCCTGTTACACCCCCAAGGGCCGCCCCTAGGTCAAACGCACCTATTTCCAATTTTCAGAACATAATTAAAGAAAACCTTAGCATTACCGCCGTCTTGCGGAGGTATACTACCGATCACTTCTCTATAGAGCCCTTTCTTTTCTTTTGTTTGGGTTCTCATCAAAACATGAAGATTGCATGTAATAAGGATTAGCTCAATAAATATCAAGGTCTTCAGCAGCTAATTTCCTCAGATCGGGAGAAAGGCGGTCGTTTCTAGGTATATCCTAGCGTTTTTTCCGGCGGCTGTTTTTTGACTTGGTCTGGCAGAGTTTTCTTCTAGTTTTGGTTGGATTAATTCGGCGATCGTTTTCGATTGGTCCGACAAAGGTTTTCTACTAGTTTTTGGTTTGAATTGATATGGCGGAAGTGTGTTTTGTTTCTTCTCACAATGGCATGAATGTGCTGCCTCGAAATTGCAGGGGTATTGGCAATCTAGCCACGACTCAGGGGTTGACAGATTTGGTTCCGGCCCTTGGCACGACTAATGAACAGACAGTGAGCGATGAAGGATTGAGCAATGGAGAATATAGATCGGCAAACCGTCCCCCTTCTGACCCGCCGCCTTGGATCGATCGAGATGACATGAGTTGGAAGATGATATTTCAAGAAAACAGTGAGGAAGGAGTTTGGAGTATTTGTCAGTTATATTATTTTTTATGGTCTTATTTTCGTGTTATGTTTGTTTATAGTATTTTTGTTGATGTATTTAGTTTTACGTCTACAATAATGATTGACAATTCTGCTAAATATTATGTTGTTAGAAGGATCTATATGACCAGTGATTGATGTGTCACACTCGCTTGGTGGTTATTGATTCGTATTATTGCTCTTTTAGCTATTCGTATTCTGCTCGAACGTTTAATTGATCCTACTTGGAATTCGAGTCCTCCTAAGTCCAAACATAAGATCTTTAGAAGGAGTGAGCGGATCGCTTCAAATCGTAAGCTTTTATCTAGGAGCTAGATGGATCAAGTTTGGATTTCATAGACTTTATTACTTTTATCTTCTTGTTTGCATTAGCTTTTGGGAAGTTCTCCCCTTTTGACTCTCCTCTTTCATTAGAACATGTAACCTTTTTCATTCTCAATAGAAAATTAATATTTCTCGCAAAAAAAAAAAAGATAGTTGTTGTCAGTATTGTTCTATTTGAATTTGTTGTAATGATCTGATCCCTAATGTTATTAATATAAACGTTTGTTTTTATGATAAAAAAACAAACGGGCTCAAACTAGGGCTGCACATTGGGCGCCCTAGTTTGATAAATTTGATGGGCCTACCCAACTTATTCGGGTTGGCAATTAACCAACCCATTGTATGCAATATAATTCGGTAAATCATGCATCAAAGGGTCGGGTTAGGTCGGGTGAGTTTAAAAAAAAACATTTCGGGTATGATTCTTAATTTTATTTTTACTATTTTTTAAGCTAAGCCCAGTCAATTTTTTGAAGGGCACGGTATGAGTTAATTTTCTAGTGTATTGTTATTAGACAACAATAATACAACCCCACTGAAGGGCACGATTTGGATTACCAGAACCAGAGAATTTCCCAATTTTGAAGCTATAGCAAAAATACCAAGTCAAGAGCCAAAGTCCATGCTCCCTGTTATTCCCAATGGTTTGCTGCTGTTTTTGAAGAAACTGGTCTTCACTTGGGGTATGATGATTTAATATAGACAAGTCACAGGTCTTTCAACATGTACACAATTCACTTTTATAGGAATATAATGATGAATAACAAAAAAAAGATATAACAATTAAAATCACTTGAGAATAATATAGAATGATGATTCATTAATATAAAAGTTGGCTGCGGCAAATTGCAGCAGAATCTTAAAGCTTTACATTGTCTCATGACAAAAAAACTAATGAAGTTCATTGAGACTTGGAAAAAAGGCAAAAACTAGCAAGTAGCAATACTGAATCACAGCAACAGCAAAAAGCATTTCTTGAATTCAGAATTATAAGTATTATGCAGATTGCAAAAGTAAGACCAAACAACATCCAGATCTTGATCAATCAATCCAAAGCTCCAAAATGCCCAGAGAATGCATCACCATTGCCTGTAGAAGTTTCACCTGAAAAGACGATAAATAATTCACATATAAAGTGCTATAAATAATATCAAATATTAAATTTAGATAAAAGATACAATTGCCTAAATCTGCAATAGCATACTCCTCCATCTTCTCCATGTATATGTTTTCTGAAAGAAAAGAGCCTCGAAGCCAATTCTGAGTGCATATCAACTCTTGCACTGTCTTAGGACTCAATGAACTCCTAAATGGATCCAAGAGTCGACCGCCAGTGCTAAACGCAGACTCGGAAGCCACAGTTGACACAGGAATGGCAAGAACATCTTTTGCAATTTGAGAAAGTACAACATACTTGGAAGAGTTGAACTTCCACCATGACAATATATCAAAATTATCAATTGATGGATCTTCAATAGGATCTGCCAATTACCATTTCCAGATGTGTTAAAGCTCAAACAATTCTGTTTCTTATCCTGGACTTTGTGTGGATTTTTTTTTACATTGATGCTCAAAATGAACTTTCATACTACTAGTTCCGTGCTTCCTACTATGACACTTGTATTGTGCCCCACAATAGTTACAAGAGCACATAGGGTCTTTTGGATCCCTCCCCGGAATGAGAGTAAAATGACTCCAAAGATATGATTTCTTTTTCCCAGCACTCCCATTTTCTGCTTTAACACCAGAAACTTGAATAGGGGAGGGGTTTTGATTCTCTGTGGGTGTGGGGTTTGCGGGGCTAGATGCATCTTGTGTTTCTAGGATTGAATCAGACACATTGAGCGGATCCATCTATACAAGAAAAAAGAATAAATTTCATAATCTATATGAAATAAATCAAATCAAATCAATGCACAAGCTTATTCAAAACAAAGAAAATTAAACAATAACTAGTCTGGTAAAATTTAAAAATATAATAAAATGAGTACTAAGAGATCCCAATACACTATCTGATATTAACGCAGTAGCACAAAAAATATCAACAAATTTAATAACTATTAATTTCAAAAGATATTAACAAATTTAGAGGATAAATTAATCTAGTTTTCAAAATTTAAATTTCCTAGTGCAGATCAAAAGACAAGAAAAGAGAAGCTTATGAAGTTATGATCAAACCAGATTGTTCAATGTCCAGGCTTATACCAATTAGGCTTAAGATAGACAAGCTCGAGGAGAAGGTCACACACGGAGTATTAAACAGTTCATAGATTATTAGATGCATAAATTGCATACCTCCTTTTGCAGCAGATCCAAACCTCTTTAAATCTTTCTGAAGGATCTTGAGAGTTGCTTCTTAACTTCTTTAACCAGTCTAGTGCGAGAGAGAAGAGATTATTAGAAATCAGACTTACCACTGCTGCCGCTGCATATAAATAGCCTATTACGATGAGTGGGGTTTTCATATTAATTGAGAAGGAGAAGGAGAGTCTGGTGTAAAATCGAAGATCGAAGAGACGGAGAATTAAATATTCAGAACATCGAAGCGGCTGGACTGCTGGAGTAAAGAGCGGAAGAAGAAGAGGCCTAACGATAAAGAGGACGAAGTGACTTCTAAGCCGAAATATTCCGTCTTTGATTGGATTGGGGGGCAAGATCAAGACCCGCGGTCTTTGACAGAATGGGGCCAAAGCCAAAACAGTCATGAAGAAGACTTTACAAGAACGGCTTGGAACGAGCCCGATGATGATAAAGTACGCTGAAGACCCATGCATGGGACAAAACTTCAAAAGAACGTATGTACATGAAAGATTGGGGTTGAAACATGAACGCAATACATCTGCTAAAGTTCCTCTCGAAAAGCAAAGTCTTAATGAGCATAGAAGTTTTGTCCCATCTCGTATGAAACGAAAAACCAATGTTAAAGTAACCTATGGAAGTGCACTCAAAGTCAAACCAGTGACCATTGTGCATACTCGTGGTCAATATGAAGACCAATATGTGAGTTCATACTCTAACAATCCAGTACCCTTGATGTCGGGGTATAGATATGTCAAATAAAATGTTGAAAGTCTTAAACCACCAATGATGTTGTAAGTGGCTAAACTGCTAAAACATCTCACTTTGTCTATGGGTGAGCATAATCATAGATACTCTTGACCCACAAGAGTTTAAAATGTGTACGGCAAGCTCTTGGCCCACGAGAGTAAAAAATGTGTACGGCAAGCTCCTGGCCCGCATGAGCTAAAACTGTGTACGGCAGCCCACCCCTTTAGATTACCTATTCAAATGGTATTATGAACTACGTTTGACTTGATCTCCCTCATAGGAGTACGTAGGCAACTCAAAAGTTTCATTTTTGAGTTCAGTTATAACAAAATAAACCCCAATTAAGTTTTTTTAAAGGAGAATATCAGCAAAAGGATCATGAAAAATGTTTGCAATCTCCTCAAGTTCAAAGTCATACCAAGAAGTGGAATTCTCAGGTCTCTTCCTCACCGAAAGTTGATTGAACTAAGGTTTGAACATCATCTTCTATCTACGCCATTGTCTCAATGAAGTTGCAAGCGGCGGCATTTCAGCCTTCATAAACGGGGAAATAGACGCCCTTCACAAACGGCGAAATGGCTTCCCTTCATAAACGGCGGAATGGCCGCCCTTCATCAACAACAGGCATGGCCTCGGTTCGGGCCGCCCGGCCCGAGACCGGCCCGACCCGCCACTGTGCGGGCCCGGCCCGGTTTTCCGGGTCCGGGTCCGGGTCCGGTTCGGGCCGGAGGCCCGGGGGTGGGGCGGTTCCGGGCTCGGTTCATGGGTTTGACGGCCCGGCCCGGCCGATTCGGGCCCGGGTCCGGGCCAAATCTATTTTTTTTTTAATTTTTTTCATTTTTTTTGGGCTGTTGGGCTTGGGCTATCTGTTTAGGCCGGTTTAGGGGGGTTTGGGGGGGTGGGGGGGGGGGAGAAAGGGGAAAAAAATTAAACCGGGTGGCCCGACCGGCCCGGCCCGGTCCGGCCCGGAACCGGACCCGGGACCGCCCTACCCCGGTTCGGGCTCGGGCCTGCTATTACTGAACCGAGGCCCGGCCGGGCCTAGGCCCGAGGCCCGAACCGGCCCGGTTCAATCCACCACTAATCAACAAGGAATAGATGCCCTTCATAACGGTGAAATGGATGCCCTTCATAAATGGCGGAATGGCCGCCCTTCATCAACGGCGAAGTAGTCGCTTTTCTTAAAATGGCGAAATAGCCGCCCTTCATACATGGCATCAGTACGGCTTCGTATTCACATGACTTCAACAAAATTCTTCAGATCGGTGCCACCAACCCAACAAAGGGCCCCAAGCGAAAATCGGCCCGATTCTTTAGAATGGTGCCACCAACCCAACAAAGGGCCCCAAGCGAAAATCGGCCCGATTCTTTAAACGGTGCCACCATCCCAACAAAGGGCTAAGCGGCACCGACAACCGGCAATTGGCCTAATTCCTTAAATCGGTACCATCCCAACAAAGGGCTAAATAGCACCGACAATCAGGAATCGGTCTAATTCTTTAAATTGGTGCCATCCCAACAAAGGGCTAAGCAGCACGACAATCGGCAATCGGCCTAATTCCTTAAATCGGTTTCATCCCAACAAAGGGCTAAGCAGCATCGACGATCGGGAATCAGCTTAATTCTTCAAATCGGTGTCATCCCAACAAAGGGCTAAGTAGCACCAACGATCGGCAATCAGTCAAACTTCGTCCTCTTCAAATGGCGCTTTGATCAGATCACTTGAAATAGTAAAAAACGGGGCTCGTTGTGATCTTAGAATTGCCCAAATTCATGGGAAGGCTCAAATCATAAAATAGGTCTAAAGGCCCAATTAAGTCAGCTGGTCCCAATTTCCTTCCGCCCCTTCTCGCAGCAGCATCCAAAATAAAAGAAAATGTCAGTTGCAATCTCTTCTCGTCGGACGAACAGAGGCAGCGGAGATAGGCCAATCAAGCCAGACAGCAGCGCCGTGAACAGCCAATCGACCGTGAATTGATGCTCGATAACTCCGGCCGGCGACGGTGACTCCTCCCTGCCAAACTTTCTCTGCACCTGGGATCCTGAACATCATCTTCAACCATGGCATTTTTTCCTCCAACATCATCTCCTCCACGCAAGGGAAAGAGCATAGCAACGTCAAATACGATCTACTCAAGCCTTCTAAGACGAACCGGAGCAAAGCCATGGATCCGCTCTTTCCTCTTCGACGGACGCGCAGGTAACAAAAAGAAATCAGCAACCGCTTTGCTTCATTGAAATTTCTGTTCGGAAGCAATTCAATCTGGAAATCAACCTCCGCCGGAAACAACAACAGTAACCCCTTATCGATGCTCCGGACGGTGGCTTCCCTCTCGCTAGCAAATAGCGATATTTGCAGCAGGGCGTGACATTACCAGTTAGTTTCTTGAGCAGCTTTGCATCTTCGTAATATATCACCTGCAGTACAGTAAAAGAAAACGACTGAATAGAGAAAGAAATTCACCTATGCTATACGGCTTCACGTATGTGGAGTGGATCAAGCTTTACGCCTTCAAGAGTTTTTTTTTCGGAGTAAAAGATAGAGGTGGAAGAGAGAAACATCTGGGCTGATATTTATACGCAGCGAAATAAAACTCCTGCTAGGATGGAAATTGAGAATAACTTGGAGTTTCGTACTTGCTATACGACGTATGAGTTGTGATCTCCCATTAGAATTTGAGTGAGAACTGCAACGGGAGTCAATTATAGTGGACTTCTACTTTAATTCAAAATTGGAGTGCACTTCGTGATGAAGCCTAATGGAAATAATAGAATTTTAAGCCAATGGATTCGGTGGATCTTGCTCATTGAAAAAAAAAAAATTTTGCAGAACTGGGCTAATTACGATGGGCTATAAGATCAATTTCGAGACTCACTTGTTCGTGCCAAATCATTTTACACAAGTAAGGATGTTTTTACTTGGACTGTAATTTGCTGGTCTGGTCTGATCTGGTCTGGTCTGGTCTGGTCTGAACTGGTCTGGTCTGGTCTGGTAAGGTCTGGTTTCTTTATATTTTTATAACTATCCAAGTCTGGTGTGGTCTGGTCTGGTCTGGTCTGGTCTGGTCTGGACTGGTCTGGTCTGGTCTGGTCTGGGGCAAATTACAGTCCAAGTAAAAACATCCTAAGTCTCAAGGGGCATTTGTGGACATATAAAAAAATTATTGGGCCAGTTGAGATGATTACAGGGCCTCTTTCGAATGATATCTAGCCAACGTCGATTTTAGTGGGCTGCTCGTGATAGTTGTTGGGCCTCTTCAAGAAGAAAATAGTGATATGGATCTCTTGGGATAAAATTTGTTGATTTAATTAATTTGGATTATTCAAAATATCCAATTGTTTTAATTATAAATTAAATCTTTAAAAGAATGGATTGGTCCTATTGATCTTGAGTCCATTATCAAATAGCGGCCCAATATATAAGAGACATGATCCAATTGATAAAGAGGTCAACGAATCTGGCCAAGAAATCCTTCCATATGCATGGAAAATAGCTATGAACCTTGTTAAAAAAGCTGTCCAAATACATCGGACAAATGCGGATTTTTCTAGTTATTAAAATGCAAGCAAATAGAGCCCGAAGCCCATTTTTATTGAGGCCCATGAGGTATGGACGAATTTTGGAACCCTAAAGCATATTTCATCCCCCTCCACACCTATAAATAGAGGAATGTGAAGAGAACTTCCAGACAAAGAAACGCTGCAGAAGAGCTCGGAAGAATTCCCGAAAGGCTCTGAAAGATTCTGAAGCATCGGAAGATATCAAGCCACGTTTTTTGTCAAGAATATATGATTAATCCTTTGAGATTTTCATCTATTCTTGATCAAACAAAGCCAAAAGTTGAAGAACGTTCGAGGATCTGAAGAACGAAGCTTGAAGATTCGAAGATCTGAAGAATGAAGCTTTGAAGATTCGAAGATATGAAGAACGAATCTTTGAAGATTTGAAGATATTCATATGAAGATTGAATCAAAATTCAATTGAAGATTAAGCCATATATCCCAGGAGGCCCTTAAACAGAAGATTAAGCCATAAAACGGCCCTTTTGTTGAAGATCAAACCACTTGAAAACCGAAGGCCCTTCAATTTGAATTCTTTATTCAAGAAGATTTGAAGATCCGGAGAACAAAGATTCGAAGATCTCAAGAATGAAGATTCGAAGATTCGAAGATCTCAAGAACGAAGATTCGAAGATCCGAAGAACGTTCAAATATTTGAAGAATTAGAGATTTAATTTTTAATTAAATTCTTTAATTATATTCATATCAAATTGCAAGTGAAGAATCAGAGGATTCATATTTAGATATTGTACCCAATATTCTCATATATTATTATTTGCGATCAATTTTAAGTAAATACTTAAAATTTGTTTCACAGGAGGTAATATATGTGACGAGTAATAATGACGTTTATGTGACGAGTAATAATGACGTTTTGATCGACTCATGTTAGTCATGTAGTCATATGCAAAAGGCCAAGAAGGTAGACGACCTTAACGTTGTAGAATTGGGTGGACCGTGGAATATTATAAGTCGTACGAATATTCTATACGACAATACCAAGTCTATTTAGGAATATAATAACAGCTTCAACGTAAAGCCCAAGTTAATAACCTTTTCCTCTATAAATATAAACACATGCTCATGTTCTCTTTATTGAAAATCCTCGTCCCAAAATCATCAAATCACGCATAGAAATTATATTTACACACAGGGATTGGAGTACTTTTTATATACGAATAGAAGCAGTTATTTTTCAGTTCGTGATCGATCTAATGGCAGGTCTTCAGTACCACTTCTTCCCCACGGATTTCTACTACCCTAAGCCTCCCAAATCAACCCCCAAC